CAACCCAGGCTATTATCCTGGCTATTGTTTGCTCTCCACAAACTGATGATAAGGCCCTATTGCTGAAGACAACACCTACATAACTCATTGAACACAAGGAAGTAGAACTCGTGCCTACCGAGATCCTTCATCCTTACTAACTTGTGTCCATGGTCCTCTGCACACTACTAGAGGAATAACACCAACCCAGCTATAAACCCTTTGATCTACAATGGCGACCAGCCTGCAAGATACGCTGGTGCAACAGTGGCTCAAACATTGTAGGAATAGCCAATCACTGTCTGTTAGATTTAAGACACACTCCATGAGATGCAACCCTGAATGTCTGACATTGCTTAGAGGTCAAGAACCTGAGACTAGATAGACCACAGACTTAGAGGAAAACCAAATACCGAAGGAACATAGCAGTAAAATAAAAGACTGCTAATAACATTCTGCTATACTTACAGATCACTGTGTTGCTTAGCTGTCATCAGAGAAGCTTCCCCCTGCAGGAGATGGGAACAAATGCAGAGACCCCCCAACTGGACAAAATGCAGAGTGAGACACCTTGGAACACTCAGTCCTAAACGGATTGTCTCCATCAAATCCCTCTGCTCAGGGTTTAGGGAACTCTGGAAGAGGATGCAGAAAGATTGCAAGAGCTAGTGGGTATAGAAGACAATAAGGACGCAAGGCTTTCTAGACACAACACAAGACCAAAGCACATATGAACCCACAGAGACTATGGCAGCATCCACAGAGCCTGTACAGGTCTAAGCCAGATGGGGTCCAAGCATTGAGAGGGAAGGGAAGTGGACACAAGCCACCATCCCTAACCCAGAAGCTATCTCCAGCTGATAACTACTCACAAAGAAAAAATACTTCTCTCCAACAGAGTCTCACTGGGTATACAAACCACTCTAAAGGGCAGACTCCTTGCTCAGCAATAAATGATTACACAAAATGAATTCAGTGTTACTTTGGAAGGTTTTTTTTTTTTTGTCTTATAGTACTATGTCTGGGCATTTTTAAAAACCTTATAGGTCTTTTACCTATGTGTTATGATTTCTGATTTTGTGTCTTTATGGGATTTCTGGTTACTCCGAGTGTCTCAGTGTCTATATTTTTTTCTTTCCTTTTTAAAAGTAATATATTTTTATTTTATGTTCTTTGGTGTTTTGCCTGCCTATATGTCTGTGTGAGAACATCAGAGCCCCTGGAACTGTAGTTACAGACAGTTGTGAGCTGCCATGTGGGTGCCGGGAATTGAACCCACGTTCTCTGGAAGAGCAGTCAGTGCTCTCAACTGCTGAGTCATCTTTCCGGACCTACTTTTTAGTAGGTTTTTTGTTTTGCTTCGTTTGTTTACTTGTTTTTTTAAGACAGGGTTTCTCTATGTAGCTCTGACTGTCCTGGAACTCTCTCTGTACATCAGGCTGGCCTCAATCTCAGAGATCTGCTTGACTCTGCTTCCTGAGTGCTAAAATCAAAAGATGGCACCAGGCTCTATATTGTTTTTTTTTCTCTTATTTTATTTTTTTTTTTAATTTTGATTTTCCAGACAGGGTTTCTTTGTATTGCTTTGAAGGCTGTCCTGGAACTCGCTCTGTAGACCAAGCTGGCCTCTGACTTACAGAGATCTTCCTGCCTCTGCCTCTAGAGTGCTGGGATTAAAGGTGTGTGCCACCAACGCCTGGTTTTTGATTTTTGTTTGTTTGTTTGTTTGTTTGTTTGTTTTGCTATCCTGGTTTGTTTTCTAATGAGAGGGCAAGAAAGGGTGTGGATTTGATTAGGTTAGGTTAGTCTGGGAGAGGGGCAACCGTAACCAGAATATATCTTGTGAAAAAAAATCTATTATAAACCAGGTGTCAGCTGGGTTAATCCCAGCACTTGGGAGGCAGAGGCAGGTGGATCTCTGTAAGTTTGAGACCAGCCTGGTCTACAAGAGCTAGTTCCAGGACAGCCTCCAAAGCCACAGAGAAACCCTGTCTCAAAACATAAAACAAAAAAACAACAAAACTTATACAACCTCTATGGTAATCAGTATGATGATTTCTCAGAAAAATTCAACCTACCTCAAGACCCACATTCACACCACAAGGACATTTGCTCATCTATGTTCATAGCAGATCTTGGAAACAACTTAGATGCCCCTTAACTGAAGAATGGATAAAGAAAATGTGGTACACTTACACAATGGAGTACTACTCAGTGGTAAGAAACAATGATATCAGGCTGGGCGTAGGCTCCAAAGCTACACAGAGAAACCTCGTCTCAAGGGAAAAAAAAACAAAACAAAAAACCATCCTAAGTATAATTATGTTCTTACTTATAAGTGGATACCAGACATAAAGCAAAAAATACCCAACCTACAATCCACAATCCCAGAGAAGCTTGAACCCTCTTCCAGAAACAGGTGGAAGCAGATGCAGAAATGGGCCAAGTTCCTGGAGTACAACTGAAGTGAGGGAGGACTGATAATATAAACAAAGGAGTCAAGACCATGATGAGGAAACCCACCGAATCAGCTGACCTGAGCTAGTGAGAAATCACTGACTCAGGTCTGACAAATGGGGAACCTGCCTAAGACCAAACTAGACTCCTTTAATATAGGTGACAATGGTGTAGCGGGGACGATATATGAAGCCACTGGCAGTGAGTCCAAGATCTAACACTAATGCACAAACTCACTTAGTGGAACCCATTCATTCTATAGGCTGATACTTTGCTCAGCCTAGACACAGGGATGTGAGGGTGGGGAGGTTCCTTGGTCCTGCTTCAATGAGATGATGAGATGGACTTAGAAGGCTTCCTAGGGGAGGCCTTACCCTCGCTGAGGAGCAGATGGGAGGTGGGGCGGGAAAGTGGGAGGGGCTGGAGGAGAGGAGGGAGGGGAAACTGGGCTTGGAATATAAAAAATAAATTAATAATAAAAAAGCAAAAGAATTTTAAAGGCTTAAATTGTAATTGTTATGGATGGATGGGGGCGGGGGGAATGGGAGAATCAAATGGGAAAAGGGAAATAAGAGAGTGAGTATAGTTGATCATTGGTGGGCATGCCTTTAATTCCAGCACTCAGGAGGCAGAGGCAGGCAGAACTCTGTGAGTTCAAGACCAGCCTGGTCTACAGAGTGAGTTCCAGGGCAGCCTCCAAAGCAATACAGTGAAATCCTGGCTCAAAAAACCCAACAGAACAACAAAAATCCCAGGTTCGGTGGTGCACACCTTTAATTCCAGCACTTGGGAGTTACCATTCACACATTACTGGAACAAATATTTTCTTCAGGTTGGTGAGATATCTCAACAAGTGAAGGCACTTACTACCAAACCTAACTGCCCCCTGCCCATGCACGCAAGCTAAATTAATAACAAGAAAGTAGAAGTAAATTGTTTAGGGGAGGGAGGGTTGAAGACAAGAAAGGAGGGGGTCTGGCAGGCATATGTTCAACATACAGTATCTACATATGAAAGCATAGTTCATAAGTTAATCATTAAATAATGTTTTATGCTTGAAAGATTTACTTGTATTATTTTCAATTATGCGTAGGTATTGGTGTCTGTGTGTGAGTATGCTTGAGTGGGTGCAGGTGCCTGGCAGGCCAGAGATGTCAGATCCCTCAAAGCTGTAGTTACAGATGACTGACAGTCACTTGATTATGGGGCCAAGAACCAAACAAACTCTGTCCCTCTGGAAGGGCAGCAATTGCTCTCTTTGGAGGAAGGAGACTGTTTTGTTTTGATGGTTTTTCCAGACAGGGTTTCTCTAGCTTTGGAGCCTGTCCTGGAACTCACAGAGCAGGCTGGCCTGGAACTCACAGAGATCTGCTTGCCTCTGCCTCCTGAGTGCTGGGATCAAAGGCTTGTGCTATTATTACCACCGACTGTTTTTGTTGTTTGGGTTTGGTTTTCTTTCTTTTTTTGTTTTTTGTTTTTGTTTTTTGTTTTTTGTTTTTTTTGTTTGTTTGTTTGTTTGTTTTTGGTTTTTAGAGACAGGGTTTCTCTGTGTAGCTTTGGAGCCTATCCTGGCACTCGCTCTGGAGACCAGGCTGGCCTCGAACTCATAGAGATCCGCCTGTCTCTGCCTCCTGAGTGCTGGGATTAAAGGTGTGCGCCACCAACGCCTGGCTTTTTTTTTGTTTTTTTTTTTTTTTTTGGCAGCAAGTGTTCTTAACAGTTGAACTATCTCTCCAGCCTCGTCATCAACTACTTGAAAAAAATTTGGATGCAGTTTAGCTACTAGAGAGCATTCAGATTGGGAAGATTGGAGAGCTCCCTGGCAGACAATCACAATTCAGAACCCAGGAAATCATCAGGCCTTTGCAGAAGCCACAGGACCAGGATTCCAGGGCAAGCTTCTATGTGAAGCTGGGTGACTTCTGGCTGACCATGCATGGGAGGTTTGTGGTGACAGGAGCTAGTATAGTAATGACAAGACAGAGAACCTATAGGGAATACATGCTCAGTCTGGGTGTCGGAGATGAACCCTCTGTGGTAAAGGAAGGTTTGGATCTGGTACGCCACCTTGCTGTATGCCGCTTGGTTTGTCACTAACATTGGCCTCAGTTCCTAGTGGTGTTTGCTAGTGTTCGGGACTATCTCAGTAAACATGAAAAGCTCCGGGACAGGCCATTATCACACCCTTCTTGCTCTAGGGATAAACATTCAAACTCAGGTGCCTTGGTGAAAAGACTCTGGTTAGAGTGAGATAGAACTGGATTGAAAACCTTTACCTCTAGCTGGATGACTTTCAGTGTGTGGCTTCTTTTCCTGAGCATCTACTTCCTTATTTGCAAAATGGTAAAATTTCAAAGGAAAAAAAAAAAAAAGCCCCAGAATTTGGTAAACGTTTCCCAAGGGCGTTGAATGGATCCAGAGTAAACTGCATAGTAACTCTGGGGAAACTAAACTTTCACAAAGGAGGATTTAAGGACTAAACTACTTAATTTTATACAGATAGGAGCTATGAAGCCACAAGGACACAGGGAAACAACTCCTCACAGTACCGTTGTTAGGGTTAGATGACCGATTCTGATGAAGAGGTAAATGTAGGAGAAGATGGGATTATCTGCTAAGAAGGTTTTCACATTGAATAGCAACTAGTATAACACTAATCCAGAAAATGTTAGGTTAAGAATGCAGGGTTTCACAAAGACAGCTGACCTGAACAAGGGAGAGCTCTTGCTCCCCAGACTGATAGCTGGGAAACCAGCATGGGACTGATCCAGACCCCATGAACGTTGGTGTCAGTGAGGAGACCTCAGAAATCTATGGGGTCCCTTGTACTTATCAGTACTTATCCCTAGCATAGGGATGGACTTTGGGAGGCCATTCCACATAGAGGGATATTCCCAGAGCCTAGACACACAGGGGAGGGCCTAGGCCTCATCCCAAAGGACATGACAGACTCTGAAGACCCCTATGGAAGACCTCACCCTCCCTGGGGAGCAGAAAGAATATGTGATAGGTAGGGTTTTAATTGGGGGCATGGCAGGGGAGGAGGGGAGGGAGAGGGAACTGGGATTGTCATGTGAAATAATCTTGTTTCTAATTCAAATCAAAAAATGGGGAAAAAAAAGTAAATCAAAGAAAGAAAGAAAAAAGAATACAGGGTGCTGGGTGGTGGTGGTATATACCTTTAATCCCAAACTCCAGAGGCAGAGACAGGTGGATACTGGGTTCGAGGGCAGTCTGGTCTGCAAAGAGAATTCCAGAACAGCCAGGACTACACAGAGAAACCCTGTCTCAAAAAAAATTGGGGGAAAAAAGAATGCAGGTTTTGCTAGATGGTGGGGCAACCATCAATCCAGCACCCAGGAAGCAGAGGCAGGAGGGTGGATCTCTGAGTTTGAGGCCAGCCTGGTCTATATTATAATGAGTTCCAGGGAGGCCAAGGCTATACGAGAAACCCTGTCTTGAACAAAACCCAAACTAATGCAAGACTTGGGGACTAGGAGTGTAGTGGTAGAGTGTGGGCCTGGCATACTCAAGATCTTACATTCAACCCAAGTTCTGCACAATTAATTAAGGGGTTTTTTGGGGGGATTGTTTGTTAGTTTGTTTTGAGACAGGTTTCTCTGTATAGCCCTGGCTGTCCTGGAACTCACTCTGTAGACCAGGCTGGCCTCAAAATCACAATGATCTACCTGTCTCTGCTCCTGGAGTGCTGGAATTAAAGGCGTGCACCACCACTACCTGGCTAATTAATGAATTAATAATAGGTAATAAGCCGGGTGGTGGTGGCACACGCCTTTGATTCCAGCACTCAGGAGGTAGAGGCAGGCGGATCTTTGTGAGATCGAGACCAGCCTGGTCTATAAGAGTTAGGTCCAGGACAGGCTCTAAAGCCACAGAGAAACCATGTCTCAAAAAAAAAAAAAAAAAAAAAAAAGGTAAGGTAATAAACATAGGAACATAGGGGTAGAGGCAGATATCAATAGCAAAGCACTTAAATGTGAGGCCCTGGGTGTTCAATCCCCAGCATTCAGAAAAACAAAATCCTAGCAGTGTGTGTGTGTGTGTGTGTGTGTGTGTGTGTGTATGTATGTGTACATGGGCACAGATATGTCATGGTGCTCCTGTAGCAGCCAGAGCAGCTTTCCAAGGTCAATTCTCTCCTTCCACCATGGGTTCTTGGTATTTACCTTAGGCTATGGTTTTGTGTTGCAAGTGTTTCACCCACTGAGCCATTTCTCCAGCCTTGTAAAGACTCAGTTCAAAACACAAGGCTCCAATGGGAGCCTGCTAGTACCTTCTGCTCACAGACACAATTTGCTTATTGGGTTTCCAAACAGTTGCCAAGATTAAGAACCAGCTCTTATTTGTTGTTGTTTTCGATACAGCATTTTTCTGTGTAGTCTTGTCCATCCTGGAATTCTGTGCTGCTTCTATCCATACCTTTAATCCCAGCACTTGTGAGGCAGAGGCAGGTGGATCTCTGAGTTCAAGGCCAGCTTCGTCTATAGAGTTAGTTCTGGGACATGGAAGGTTATACAGAGAAACCCTGTCTTGAAAACAGGGGCTGGAGAGATGACTCAGAAGTTAAGAGCACTGACTGCTCTTCCAGAGGACCTGGGTTCAATTCCCAGCACCCACATGGCAGCTCACAACTAACTGTCTGTACCTCCAGTTCCAGGGGATCTTATACCTGAACACAGGCATACATGCCAAACATGCAGACAAAACACTAAAGTACATAAAATTAAAATAAGTAAATCACTATTAAAATAGCTGCTTGGTGTAGGGGATGCAAGGTCCACATGTAGCATCCTGGAGCAGACAGACATTGAAGCCGTGGAAGCTCTCGTTTGTATGAGTTATTGGGGACAAAGATCCCAGATGAGACCCCTCACACCTGTCTCTGATTCCGGCGACATTACCAGCACTGTGCTTATGGACACAGCTGCACCTGATCTACCAAAGGACTTCCATTCTTTTTCAACTCTGTGTATAACTCCTCCTCAGAGCCCAGAGCTCACAGAACCATTGACAGGGACCCCTGTTCCTTCCCAAGTAACTAATTTCAAAGGATGCATGGTCACCACCCTCCCTGAATCCTCCACTGTCTCCCCCAGAGTGCTGAGCAGGAAGGAGCCACTGGAGCCAGCCTCAGGATCCTCCTGCAGGGCTGTGATGACCAGTGTGATCCATCACACTGGGGAGGGCCCTGTTTCTACGTGTTTTCCAACTGCCCCAGCTCAAGTGCAACAACTGTCTAGCAGCAGAGAAGGACAAGTAGAGCTGCTAGGCCATCGTGAAGCTTTGCAAGACACTCACTTGGCAGATGGTTTACTTGTTTCTAACTCAGTTTCCTGTCAGCCTTGCTTGCACAAGTCTGGTGTCCCATTCCCCACCTACCAAGGCCAGCAGACAGGATGGCCCACTGCCATTCAGACCCACTCACCAAAGAATTCTGAAAGTGACTTGTCAAGGAAAACCACCCCTCTGATTTCTGTCCCTGTCTGCACTCCCCCCATCCTTTGCTAAATGATCCCCGTGGCTGCACAAAACGGCATGTTCTCAGTCTTTTTGAAGCCTCCTCCTCAGTTGTCTGCAGAGACTGTCAAGTCCATCCTACCCCAAGCTGCTGCAGTGCCCCAACCTGTGTTCACGGGCCCATCTATGCCTCAGGGAACCGTGATGCTGGTCTTGCCACAGAGCACCTTCCCCCAGCCTGCCACCTGCCCATCCAGTGTCATGGCCATCAGGAATACCAAGCTGTTGCCCCTTGCCCCTGCACCAATGTTCTTCGCCTCCAGCCAGAACTGTGCCCCTCAGGTAAGGCAGGTTATAAAGCAGGTGAGGTAAGTAAAGTAGTTCAAAGTCCCTATACATCTGTACCAAAGGCAGAATTATATGCAATTCTCTTGGTACTTATGAATTTTATAGAACCTCTTAATATAGTTACTAATTCTTAATATGTGGAGAGAGTCATGTTACACATTGAGACTGCAGAATTCGTTCCTGATAATACAGAATTATCTTCACTGTTTATACAATTACAGGAAACAATCAGAAACAGAAGGAATCCTATATACATTACACAAATCAGATCCCATATGGGTCTTCCAGGCCCACTAGCACAAGGCAATGATGAGATTGATCATTTATTAATTGGAAGTCTGCTAGAAGCCTCAGAATTTCATAAGAAACATCATGTAAATAGCAAAGGTTTGAAAAAGGACTTCTCCATCACTTGGCAACAAGCCAAGGAGATAGTGAGAAACTGTCCTACTTGTTCCTTTTATAATCAAACTCCATAGCCAGCAGGTTGTAATCCTAAGGGTATTCAAAGAAATGAGGTTTGGCAGATGGATGTCTTTCACTTTGCAGAATCTGGAAATTTGAAATATGTGCATCATACTATAGACACATTCTCAGGGTTCCAATGGGCTACTGCTCTTAACTCTAAAAAAGCTGATTCTGTTATTACACACCTGCTAGAGGTGATGGCAATTATGGGTATACCTGCACAAATAAAAACTGACAATGCTCCAGCATATGTCTCCACTAAGTTGGAACAGTTTTTCAAATATTATAACATAAAGCATGTTACCGGTATAACACAAAATCCTACGGGACAAGCAGTGCTTGAGAGATATAATAGGACACTTAAGGAGATGCTCAACAAACAAGCTTGGAAGACTAAACCCACAAACATAGGCTGCATAATGCTTTGTTAACACTAAACTTTTTTAATGCCAATGAGAAAGGGCAAACGACTGCAGAATAACACTGGACGACGGAAAAACTGCTGAATTGAATCAGCCGGTATACTTCAAAGATGTACTAACCTCTGTATGGAAACCAGGACATGTGTTATGATGGGGTAGGGGTTTTGCATTGGTTTACACAGGAGAAGAAAAACTATGGATACCATCAAAGTTGATCAAGATTCGAGTTGAAAAGGAAAAACCTCTCAACAAGAAGAAAGGACAGGTACTCTACTAAGGTATATCTCATAAGCTAAATAGAAACCTCCCAAAGGAAAGGGAAGTATTTTGCTTTTATCTTCACAGGAAAACTCATCTCCAGAAGTCCAAGAATACTGCATGGGTAGATGCTTAAATCAAACAAAAGGAACATGCCATACATGCTGTGTCTCAGAGAACTCTATTTCTCTTTATTTCCTAGTCCCTATTCAGTTAAACCAATGCTGGATTTAGAGGTGGATTTGGCTTTCCTCCTCTAAAATCCAAGCACGTTTTTAAACTAAACTTTAGAGTTTCTGTATTGTATCAAGAAACCAATTGATATAATACAGAATAAGAGAAGAATTTGGGGACTGTCTTTGTCTTTTCTTGGCTCTTTCTTTCATGGTGTACACCCTATCATAATTGTTATGCTCCTTTTCTAGTATGCATACTTACACAAGCAAACATTTCTCTGCTAACATTTATGTTTGAGTCCCACACAGCTAATGAAGACCTCCCTGACAGCAATCCTGGATGCCCGGGAAAGAAAGAAAATGGGCCACACCTCCTCAACTGCACTGGATCCAACTTGCTCTATTTCAACGGATACTCCGGCCAGAGCTTCAGGTACTGACTTCAATCAAGTTGAGGATTTCAAGCGAGATCTTCAATCAAGCGAATCCCATCTAACATGGACTGAATACAATCCATTCAAGACTTTCACTATACTAACATTTTCTTCCCTCAGGACCCCATGAGGCTATCGTTGTCCCATTTCAGCAGGAAGTAACTTGGAGGATGCTACGCCCCCTTTTCCCCATTGGTTTTTTTTTTTTTTGTTTGTTTGTTTGTTTTTCGAGACAGGGTTTCTCTGTGTAGCTTTGGAGCCTATCCTGGCACTCGCTCTGGAGACCAGGCTGGCTTCGAACTCACAGAGATCCACTGCCTCTGCCTCCCAAGTGCTGGGATTAAAGGCATGTGCCACCACCAACGCCCGGCCCTTTCCCCCATTGTTGTCACTTAGGATAGTGTATATACCTAGTTAGGGATAGCATCCTATTGTTTATGGTTGGGATTGGAAGGAGGTGTTCAGGCTTGGACACCTCTTTCGGATGACTTTAGGGTTTAGTTAAAATAAATAGTTAGGATGTGACATAAGCAGATTGTTGTATCTTCTTATATTTCACCTTTATGATTGTTAATTTTGGATACTTTACACTGTTAAGTTTTAATCCTCTTTTAGACTAAAAGGGGAATTGTAGGGGATGCTGTAGCCACAACCGCTTAGGGGCTGGCTACAAGTGTGCCTGACCACGCCTACGAGGGCATGGTCATGGTGATGTAGGGAAAGTTTAAGAATGAGGGACCCTTATGTGGCAGGCCCTGCTTTCGCTTTCATCTTTGGCTTGCTGTACAGACTGCTGCCCGCTGGCTGGCTAGGTCACTCTGTAAGTAAGGCTTTTCCCTATTAAATTCCCTTGTATTTTTACCTGGCTCTGTATTGGTAATTTCCCACATTAGCTTGGAACAAATATTATTGTATTTGCACTTAATTTTTGTTCTCATCTAGATGTGTATTTTCTGACTGTATAGAAGAACTTTTGTCATATAATAAATTAGATATCTAAATGGCAATTCTTTAATTTTTAAAATTTCCATCAAAAATAAAAAGAACCAGCTCTTTCACCCTCTAGCTACTTACTTAAGGAGAAATTGGGGTTTGAACTTAGTCTCCCTTTTCCTGGCTTCTCTAGTCCCCTATTCTCAGAAGATGCAGTCTCCCACCCGAAGACGGGCACACTCTGATTTAGACACCAGCACATCTGTTGCTTAAGATTTTCCAAAATAATTTCTGTTGCCACTGCAGACAGTGAACTTCTGCAAAAGAGTCTGTTGTTTGGGGAGCCTCTCTGAATAGCTCTTGGCAGCTATTCTGAACAGCTCACTTCTGAACAGCAGGGCAATATTAGTACCTGTAACAGAGTCCTTCCAAAGAAAAAACAGGTGGCCGTGTCTCAGACGCAGCTCTTCCTTAGGACAAGCCTAGCATATTATTCACAACATAGCCAGTTTTGCAACAGGGCCTCTGGATCCTAAGAAGGGTTCTAGGACTGCAGTTGAAAGGTTCACCTAAGACAATGTGCTGAAGTTGGTCCTGGTAGCCAAAACAACCCCACAGCAAATACTTGGCAACTCATTTCACCTACTCTTCAACTACACAGGAGCCTGAGGAGGAATGATTGTGAGTTCAAAGCCAATTGGACATTATAGCAAGTCCTCAACTTAAAAATACTGAAAAGACAGGAAAGAAAGTAGTAAGTGGCTGGCGTTTTCCTGGGGAAATATCTCCAAGATTCCATCAGATTCTGGAAGAATCAGATCTTTTTTTCAAGGAATGTTTTGAATTCATTGACATGGGAGACAGCTCCCTGAACAGAACACCAATAGCACAGGCACTAAGGTCAATGATTAATAAATGGGACTTCATGAAACTGAGAAGCTTCTATAAGGCAAAGGACATGGTCAACAAGAAAAAACAGCAACCCACAGAATGGGAAAAGATCTTCACCAACCCCACATCTGACAGAGGGCTGATTTCCCCAATATATAAAGAATTTAAGAAACTAGTCACCAAAACACCAAACAATCCAACTCAAAAACGGGGTAACGATCTAAATATAGAAGTTTCAACAGAGGAATCTCAAATGGCTGAGAAACACTTAAATGTTCAGCCGGGCAGTAGTGGCTCATGCTTTTAATCCCAGCACTCGGGAGGCAGAGGCAGGTGGATCTCTGTGAGTTCAAGACCAGCCTCATCTACAAGAGCGAGTTCCAGGACAGCCTGCAAAGCCACAGAGAAACCTTGCCTAGAAAAAAAAGAAATGTTCAACATTCTTAGCCATGAGGGAAATGCAAATTAAAAGGACTCTGAGATTCTGTCTTATACCTGTCAGAATGGCTAAGATCAAAACATAAATGACATCTTATGCTGGAGAGGATGCAGAGCAAGGGGAACACTCCTCCATTGCTGGTGGGAGTGCAAACTTGTATAGCCATTTTGGAAATCAGTATGGTTGTTTCTCAGGAAATTGAGAATCAATCTACCTCAAGACCCAGGTATACCACTCGTGGGCATATTTCCAAAGGACGCTCAATCATAAACAAGAACATTTGCTCAACTATATTCACAGTAACATTATTAGTAATAGCCAAATCTTGAAAACAACCTAGATGCACCCCCCCCCATTGAAGAATGAATAAAGAAAAAGTGGTACATTTACATAATGGAGTACTACTTAGCTGATGAAAAACTGACATCATGAAGTTTACCAGCAAATGGATGAACTAGAAAAGATCATTCTGAGTGAGGTAACCCAGACCCAGAAAGACAAATATGATATGTACTCACTCATAAGTGAATATTAGCTGTAAAGGAAAGGATAGCCATGCTACAACCCACAGACCCAAAGAAACTAAGTAGCAAGGGGGATGTGCTTGAGTCTCACTGTAAAGGGAAAATAGAATATCCATCCCAGGTGGATGGAGGGGGGTCTAGATGGGGGATTGACATGGTATCAGGTAGGGGGAGGATGGAGGGAGAGAATACTGGGAGAGGCAACTGGAATCTGGGGGTATGTCTGAGATAAGCTAGAAACCTAGCACAATGGAAACTCCCAGGAATCTATGAGGGTGACCCTAGCTAAGACTCCTAGCAATTGGGATTACAAGAGGATGTAGAACCTGAACTGACCATCTCCTGTAACCAGGCAAAACATCCAGTAGAGTATTTGGGACCCCAACCCAGTTATAAACTCTTTGACCCACAGTTTTCCCTGTCTGCCAAATGTGCTGGAGTAAAGGTAGCATAGAAATTATGGAACTAGCCAACCAATGACTGGTCTAG